CAGATCAATATGCTCTTTTATCGCAGGCTGAAGTGGAAGTATTAATATTTTTTCCATGGTTTTGAGGAACGGTGAAGTTACTGCAATAGGTCTAAATTTTACATTCTTATCACCAGATGCTTTCTTGGGTACAGGGATTATCTTCATCTTTCTCTACATTTTCGGTATGAGATTGGATGAGAAGGATCTGTTAAAGATAGTCGTGAATGGATAATATAGGACGTCAGCAAATTTTTAAAAAGGAGGTTTGGGATACCCTAAACATCGGGATGAATTAAGTGACTAGAGACATCTTCGGACATCAGTTTCAGTGAAACTAGGAACACAACTATTATTTAAACCTGTGGATGAAGGGAGCATTACATCAGATGCCTGACTTACAAAAGACTTATTCAAGTCACAAACATTCGCTCCTAGACGGTCTGTCACCTGTAAGTTCTTTAACGAGTTTCCACATACTTGGAGAGTTTTTGAGTAAACATACAGTTGAGACGTCTAATCTCTAGGTCTATCAGACCATTTAGCTTACGAACTTCATTCGAGTTCTTCTCCTTGTACATTCTTTCTTTCATCCTCCGTAGTCGTTTCAGTTGTGTAGATGTAAGTCGAGACAGATGAGCATTTCACTTCACCTAGCTTTACTGCAATATGATTTTTTACAAGCCCAAAACCGAGTTCGTTACTTACAAGTACATTTTCGGCATAAGATTAAATGAGAAGGATCTGTTAAAGATAGTCGTGAATGGGTAATATAGGACGTCAGCGCATTTTTAAAAGGAGGTTTGGGATACCATGAGGTCCTAAACATCGGGGTGAATTAAGTGACTGGAGACATCTTCGTGCATCAGTTTCAATGAAATTAGGAACTTATTAATTCTTAAGACCTGTGGATGAAGGGACATTTTGGCTCCTCTTTGTCTTTGTTTTGGTTTTATGGAATTTTTACTCCGAGAAATTACAAAATTGAAGGACGACATTCGGGTCGATTATTTGTAAATTGCGAATAAACTTTGGTACCTATAGAGGAGTTTGGTTCTATTGGTAATTTTGGTTCGTAAATAGCAAATAGATCAATATACTGTACTTCAATAACGGGGACGAGCGAAAATTTGAATGTAACAGATAATAAAATCGACGGATTTAGGTACTACCATGCTACGCTTATATAATGATTAGGCTATCACGTAGTTGTTAATCAAACAAGCATTCAAAATAAACTCTGGAGCCTACTATCAAAATTAACACTTATTGAATAAAACTTTCTTGGTCGCAATGGGTAACGTAATGAACCATCTCGGATCCGTTAGTGCTACGAACGTCTACTATTTGAAAAGCATATAAAACAATAATAGCTGTTTCTTCTAATTCTCAATAAACACTATAACTTGTTAAACATGATGGTTTCAGGATATCGTCATAAAGCTTTATCACGACTTGACAATCGCGTAATATGATTGATAAAGTTGATGAAACTATTAACAAGACCGGTCGACAAATTTATTTGTAATTATCATTAAATAGTGTTATTTTCTCGTTATCTTCATCCACTTTAAATGATTACAGTATGTTTCTGTATCAAACGCTCATTCGGCAAATATCTGAAAACCTTTTCAGCCTAATTGGAGTTCAGGAACACAATCATTTATGCGAATCATCAGTATAAGCAGTCGAGCGAATCTCATGTAAACTGAAAATACTGTCGAATTTATCCCACCACTGACTAAGATTCAAGCCATTATCATAGACATGAGTTGGTAGTGTACTCTCCTTGGTTACAACTTATGTTCTGCCTTATAAGAATAATAATAATAATTTATTCTAAAATAACATGAGGCATGCCAGTTTACAGGCAAGATCAAATTGTTACAATTGATACAATATCCACTGTGGTAAATTACATAGCTGGGTTGATAATTTAAAAGATATGAATGTCGATGGTTTTAGTCAGAATCACAGTTGGCGCGCTTCATGAAAGTTGCGTTGCGAATGTGCAACTGATGGTCAAGGATAGGTCCATTGAAGGTGGGAGCTTCTAGAAATCGCAATCTTATATCCATTTGGAATATATAAGGCTTTAAGGATGGTGCAGGACGAAGTCACCCGTTCCATATCTCAAGGGGGCTGAAAGAGGGAGCAAGTAAAAGAAAGGACGAGAGGCATAGTAGCCAATATTCTTGAAGGAATGTTTAAGATATGATTACTCAGTCTAATTCTCTTTAATTAAGGTATTTGTTAAGCAAGAGAATTTTAATAGGTTAAAGAGAACAAGTGTAAAAACAAGGTATGAGAGGACATATAACTGACAAATGGAGGCGATTCAGAGAGGAGTTGAGAGTATGGTATTATGTGTGGTTATAAAATATAGTGCGAAAAACACTATTGTGAGATACAATTGATTATCTTCCTTTTTTATCGAAGCTATTGGAGTCCTTTTCATCTTTTTTTGTATTATTATTATTTTTTAGGTATCATAGGGTCTTGAGTAGGCTTCGTATATTATCGAATTGTCTAGTTTGCTTGTAATAGGATTTCTGGGTAGGAAGTGAAACCAATTCAACTTTCGTAACACGATTTATTGAGGCATTTTGCATGATAAATGAGCATAATATCTTAAGTTCGTGACATCCCACTAAACCATAAGGAGCCGTAATTAAACAAAATGTTCTGCCCTACAGACATGGGTGGATTGAAGTCGTCTCCCCACCATCATGTTTGCTGGTCAGTAACGCCACCCGCCCTCCTTTTGTGATGTTAGGCTTTCTTACGTTTGTGGTAAGTATGAATACTGCTTTAATCAAAGGCCATAGTTAGAATACACATGAGCACTATTCACTGTTTATCATTTTGTGAAGCTTTATTTAACTGGAAGCGTCGTGCAACACCATATCACCTGTGTTTATGGCACATGGGCTTTGTCGATAAAACGATTTTAATCATTATATTTCGAATACGTCGTTTTCTACATTGTGCTAAACTCCATACTTGCAACTAGTATACACTATCAGCCGGTGAATACTATAGATGCTTTGAGAACTGTGCAACACAGAGTACGTTAGTACAGAAATATGTAGTTAAAGAAGATACAAGCAAAAGTAAGACCACCGACGCATGGGCCAGTCCATGGCGTACGATTAACTGATACGCGTTGGTTGTCCTTGACCTTGACGAGGATCGATGATTTGTTTGATATTCAATGACCCAACTGCCGGATGATTTGGCTAGGGCTCAATGACATTTCACTGGCCCTACACCACTAGTTTTGGTATCGAACCAACGTCACGTTGAATCTTGTGTGAGAGTAGTGTAGTGGCGTTGGACCGTAACTTTTGAAAATGAGCGTATAATTACTAAGAAGATTTGTATTCAACAACTGACACAAAGAGGAGGTTAAAAGTCGAGAATGCGGAAATATTCAATTCAATCGGTTGGCGCGGCCCAGCCTTGCAGGAGTGGTCATTCTTGTGTAATTTATATCTTTTACTCATGTTAAATATAATGTTCTATCTCCAGCTTAAATGTGTTCCCCAGAAGTAGGGAGAATCAGTGTAGACGACGATATTGCTTCCACGATATATCTCATAGATTAAGTAGTCACATAATGACAGATCTACAATTTAAGGATTGGGTTTATTACTAGAGCAGTACTAATAACGAAGTATGTACAACAAACCCTTTAATAGCAGACGAGCAATGGATGATGGCTCTGAACAGCGGGAAATCAGTGGATGTTATCTACATGAACAACATCAAAATACTCTTGAAGCTGAAAAATCTGGGCATTGACAGATCTCCCCTAAAATGGCTTGATGATTTCTTGGTAGGTCGTAGACAGGAATGGTAAACAATACTTAGAGTACCTCAACGCTCTGTTTTAAGTATTCCGCTTTCTACACGGTATGTAAATGAACTCTCAGGTGCAGTTGAGCACCCGATACTAATAGACGTTGATTATATGAAAATTTTACGAAGTACATTTTCACTTCGGGAAGACTTAGATAATCTGTTTAGCTGATCTAAAATGGCTGATGCCCATCAATGCAGTAAATGTGTCTACACGCACATAAGGGATATATGGGTGAATAGATATAGGGTTGTTGAAGAGTCAGTGCTCGCAGTGTGGTCTCACAATGGTCTTAGAACAGCAGTAAGCTACGACCTCAAGATCACAGCCATGCTGCCTCGACCTCATACCCAAGGGCTTTAGAACCCCATGAACTTTAGAACCGATATTCAACAAGTTAGTTACTAATATGTTCACGAGGGTATACACAACCTTAGTGAGATCCATACTTGAGACTTCACTCAGGTATCAAGCCCCGTTTGAACGGATATTCCGGAAAAAGTACGGAGGGAAGCTACACACACAGTGCCAGACACCGGCTGTTACCATAAGTAGGGTGTCTTGAAAAGATGGACACCTTTACTCTGTCCTACCCCAGATTGAGAGGTGGTTTGATTTCTTTTTCTCCCTATCAGATAAGGACAACTCAAGGGACATAGTGGACGAGTGAAAAGTCCAAGGACGAGCAAAATACTAGTGGAATACAGGTTTCTAAACCGGATCATTGATTCTTGAATCCTGTTACCCGAAGCAGTGTTACCGCACCTTCAATTGATTCATTCAATAGAAGACTAGACACTCATAGAAGCTTACTAGAAAAGGACTAACATAGACCATGGATCTTCTGTCCTTGATACACATACCTAAATCTGAATCTGTTTTACAGATTGTAACGACCGAACTGCCAGTATCCGGTTTGAACGCAGGACTGACAAACCACAATGTATTCTAGTAGGCCAGACTACGTTCTTCTGTACAACTTCTGTACACATTCTTATAAGATATAATGCATCGAATTTCAAAATAAGGCCAGAAACGCACAATCACTATCAACAAAATATTTTTAAATGTCACCAGCAAGCTATTACTACTTGTCGACTTGTTTGAGCGAATCAAATGATGTTGATAGGGATAACTTACTATTATTTTATCATTCGAAATGCAGTTGAAAGACCGTTGTTTAGTTGTTGTCGCACTAATCACAGGTACCATATTACCTAAATACCTATTTTCGTTTTACATTTTTATGCATTTTTAAATTTAAAAATGGATTGTTCATTTTTGTACTGCAAATTATAGAACATTGCAAAGATTAACATTGTCCCTCTGCTTTCAAGTATGAGCATTTAGTCAGTACACAATGTTCTATCTTTTGTATGTTCGGACTAAATTTGTTACTTCTGGAAAGCAAAATTAATAGCTAATTTTTTGATGCCTCAAAATTTTCTTGGATCCTCTTTTAAATATCCTTTGTTTACAAACGATTTCACATTGAGAAATAAATCTTGGCATCTGTTCTCAGTATAATACCCGTTTTATTTGTGAAATTAAATGTGTATCGCGGCTTTAACTCATAGCTGGTTTTCAGTCCGTAAAACGGTAGATATAGCCTTTCGATGAATAATGTCAACTCATCGTCGATGAGTGGTTCAAATGGTTGTGAATAGAATAGAAGATTTCGCTTAACGTCTTCCGTGTCTGGTAGCAGTGGATCACACCTTCAGGCAAGAACCTAGGTATATTAACGATAATAGGGGAAAAGGACACTGGTAAGTCACAGTAAGATATTATCCTTAGTCCTTGAAAATAGATCAAAGTTTCTCTTAAAGGACTCCTGGGTAGTCGCTTGAACTAGCTCAGGCGACAATGAATTCCCGAATTTGACAACTCATAAAGAGTAGAAGTTGTGTCTACAATGCGTTCTGCTGTATTGTGTCTCTAGTTTTTGGATGTTACCCCATAGATTTGTGTTGGAGCTAAATTTAAGTAGGTGTTTAAGGGGATGTCCGGAAATGTTAAGGATATATATATATATATATATATATATATATATATATATATATATGAGATCGGCAGCCACATCCCGTAGAAAAAATCTTGCTGAAAAGCATTAACCAGAATAAACAAACTAAACTATTTTAACTCTGTCCTGGGAGTTGAAGGGAGAGTTATAACGTCTCATGATGGAGGCCAAGAGTCTTCGTAATTCACAAGGCCGACGGCCCTTCCAACAACCACAGAAACAATCAATATAGGTACATGGAATGTCCAGGTCATGTGGGTAACTGGGAGAACCAGTCCAATAGCAACGGAGATGAGATACAACTTGAAGGTGCTCGGATTCAGTGAAACACAATCGACTAAAACTAGACAGAAAAGGTTAGGTTCGGGAATGATGCTGCTGTACACTGTTTACAAGAAGCAAATGCTCCGCACACTCAGGCAGTTGCTTTGATGCTCTCAAAAGAAGGACGTAATGAACTTATAGTATGGGAATCTCACAGATCTAGTATCATCGAAGCATCCTTCAAAACGAAGGAGGGAATCACGATAAATGTTATCCAATGTTATGCACTCAACGATGATAGCAATAACGATGATAAAGACCAGTTTTATGAAAGGCTTCAATCGATCATAGTGAAGTGCTTAAGAAACGACATGGTCATCAGGATGCGAGACCTAAACTCCAATGTTGGAATGAACAACACTGGGTATGAAGATGTAATGGGACGATATGGACTTGGAGAGTGAAACGAAAACGAGGAGAGATTCACAAACCTATGTGCATTCAACAAAGACAAAACATTTCCTCACAAACGCATACACAAAGCTACATGGGTCTAGCTGGACCACACCACGGATTACCAGATAGATCATGTTTGTATCAATAAAAAATTCAGAAGGTCAATGGAGGACGTGAAAACCACTTGAGGGGCTGACATAGCTTTAGATCACCACCTGGTTGTGGTCAAGATGAAACTGAAGGTAAAGAAAATCTGGACAGCTAGGGGAAAAAGCGTTACAAAGGTTCAATACAGCCTTCCTACGAGATAATAACAAACTCAACCAATTCAACATAACTTTCAATAGCGGGTTCCAAGCGTTACAGGATTTACTGAAAGTAGAACGAACTACGATGGAGAATAATCTAAAACGGATCAAAGAAATACTAACATCAACGTGCCAGGAGGTGTTTGGTCGCAACAAGCATCATCATAAAGAATGGATTTTTATGCAAACTTTGAACAAGATATATAGTAAACCAGAGAGACCAGTCAAGTACAAATAGGCTAGTTAATCACTGAAATCGAAGAACAAAAGAACAGGTGGGTAGGACAGTTTGAGGAACCCTTGAATAGAATAGCTCCATTGAATCAACCGGACATCAAAGCAGCATCTAAAAACCTTCCTATAGATGGTGGTTGACTAGACTACGAAGACCTCCACATCTGAGGGGAAGCATGGAATACAATGGGCAGCTTGGATGCACCTAGACGGTTTGAACTTCACAGATGACCTAGCCCTTCTATTCCATAAAGACCAACAAATGCACGTGAAAATATTCAGTAAAGCAGCCACATCTGCATCAGTAGACCTCAATTTGCACATTTGAAAAGGCAATATCCTGAAATACAATACGGTGAACACCAACTCAATCACACTTGGTGGAGATGCTCCGAAAAATCTGGAATCTTTAACGTACCTTGTAAGCATCATCGATGAACAAGAAAGATCTGTTGCGGATGTGCAGGCAATGATTAGCAAAGTAAAGGCAGTATTCCTACAGTTGAAGAACATATGAAACTGGAAGCAACTGTCAACCAATATCAAAATCAGAATCTTCAATACGAGCGTCGAGACTGTTCTGCTGTACGGAGCTGAAAGTTCACGAACTACTACAACCATCACCAAAAACGTACAAATATTTCTGCGTAAGATACTCAATGTCCGTTGATCGAATACCATCAGCAACAACCTACTGTGGGAGAGGACAAATCAGGTTTCGTCTGAAAAGGAAATCATGGAAAGACGCTGGAGTTGGATAGGACATACATTTAGGAAATCATAAAACAGCACCTCAAGGCAAGCGCTAACTTTTAATTCGGAAGGAAAGTAGAAAAGAGGAAGGCCAAAAAACACATTACATCAGGAATTGAAAGCAGATATGAAAAGGATAAATAGCAACTGGAAAGAAGTGGGAAGGATTGCCCAGAACAAGGTTGTATGGAGAGTGCTGATTAGCAACCTATGCTCCTCCACGAAGGGTAATAGCCCTAACTAAGTAAGGAATACAAGTCTTTGAACTGCACCAACTAAAGACACCTTATTTTATAACAAACGTCCCAAAGATCTATATAATGTTAATAACAATGCATTTTGTAATTTAAGCCCATTGCATTCATGGACAACTCAAATAGATATACAGAAGCGACATGAGACATAATAGCAAATGTGTTGATTTAAGTTGTCACGGTTTACAAACAACAAGAAGTATAGAGATCAACGGGGAAAATGCTTCTAAAACTATGAGAAAAAAAGACGTTACAAATGTCCACAAACGAAAGTCTTTTCTAATGAAGCATCTTAACTGCCAAGGTTTGAAATAGAGTGCTATCAATTATTGGATACTGGATATCAAATCAACACATGTTACTATTCTAAATAAAGCAATTGTTGTGGGAATTCTTTTGATTGACAGGTGTATTAGTCACAGACTAATTTCAGTCATCTATTTTTGCCTATTACTCCACGTCTAGTTTCAACATTACTGACTCCGTGATTCTACCATCACGAACAAATCGTAGATCACCATCACAATGGCACCAAAAAATACCCTAGCTATTCTGGCATTCACTATATGTAAGTTGATTTAATACGTCACACCACCACCAGCACTCACACAGCCGCTAAATCACAAATGTGTCGTTTACCGATGGCTCACTATCAAGGGTGAGTTCAAGGACAAGTTCCTCTCAGTTTTCTGAAATCACTTTGGATTTGGGAGGTAGAGATTACCTGCCGTAGCTATGGACACTGACTGGCAAATGACAAGTCGCAATTTGTATAACTTGAGTATCGTTGCGCAGTAAGACAATATCATTCACATAGTGAAGATCAAGAATTATCTCGCTAGGTGACAGTTCTACACTATCACTAATTCGTCCCACCGAAGTAGTTTCCAGAATATTATCGACATCTATAACCAAAATATATAACAAACTTACTAAATTATATGATTGCTCTTAAGGTATGATTACATTTCAAAGATGTTTGTAAAAATTGTTTTATGTATTAAGCTCTTGCGTACCACCCTACTAGGTAATTTCCAAGTTTTTATAACAGCCTAAAATGGATTACTTTAAACACATCTAGAAACGTGTAAATTAAAAAGAGATAGTTTATTAACAGGACTAATTTTAAAATTCTTTGGCGTTTCACTGATCGGTAACTACTACTATTACTGTTTTAATTCACTGAATTCTGGTTTGTCTTCCTTAAGATAAAATGTTATTGAATATGGGGGGAAAGTGAAGAGATATATTAAATAACTGGTTTCTTAAACCACTGATTTCGTAATTAAAATGTCTTGTTAAATGTTCTTTTACGTACATAACTTTAAAAAGTTTCTAAAATAGTGCTATTTCGATAAAATGGTAGATCTATATTTGAGCTACATGCATTATTAAAAATGAATATACATTTATTACGGACACAAGGTTATTCCCTGGTTCTACATTTGACATCCATGCTTCATACGTTTTTATCATCGACTCATTTAAAATCACAAATTTTGTTGTAGATTTTTCAACTAGTAAATTATATTGCTACAAAAATATAAAAGCAGTGTAGTGTAAGATTATTATCCATCACTGGAAGCTAATTTATTCAGAATTAGAAAAAATTCTCTTAACCATTGTAGCCTCTTAAGAATATGCTTCAAAGATTATATACTTTTTTGATGGTACGTGTAAATTTGACATAAAATTTATGTCGTAAAATCGTTATGTATTTACCTGAAAATGCTCTTTATTAACATAGATTACTTAAACGAAACAATTAATATACGCTACTAACTTAGTTTTTTGAGTGAGTTTTTCGTTTAAAAGCCCGTCTAAAACGTTGGTTTCTAGTAGTTGATAAGTTTTTGTCCAGTTGGTTAGCATCTTGATTTTGGAGTGATATTGTGAAAAAGGGTAGTAATTTAGTGGTCTCACTCTATTTAAATTGAATTAGAATCTAGAGGTGAGAAGTATGCTAATAAAAATAAAATTTTTAAAGTCTATTCAATCACAATTATCATACGATCAAAACTATTCAACAGTGTACTAGTGTGAATTCAAAAATATGAGTTAAAAAATAAACAATGCAGTTGTGACGATTCGAGTCCTTCCGTTGTTAGTGTTAAGGACCGCGAATTTTCAGTTTCCTGTGGCATACATGCATGCTGGGCGGATTAATAAAGTAATTAATCTTTCAAATACTTTGAAAAGCCATGTAGTCTTAAGTTTATGTACAATTAACTTTATCATTTATATAATAATCTTAAAACTTCCTATTTAAACAACTCAAATGTTACTGACGGATTCTCTGTTTCCAAGGTCGTAACTTTCCTAATCGACCTACATATCATTTAGTATGTGAAGCCAAATTCAATAATGAAGTTTTATCAACTGATCCAGTTGAACATAATGAAGAACCCCAATTTGAACAGGAACTTGCTTGGGATTTAGATAAAACAAGTTTAAAACAACATCGTTTACAACGGAGTGCATTGAAAGTGACGGTATCCGCTGTCGACAGCCAATCACCAGTTAAAGAACCGATTGGATTTTTCATGTTAGATTTACGTTCATGTTCTACTGGAAAAGTGAATATTCTTTTAATCTTGACTCATACAACTTTACTAATGTGTTTTAAAAGGTCTACAAGTGGTATCGAATTCTGCATAGTAAATATAAAAGCAGTCCAGCTGTATTTGCTTCAATTTATTTAGATATTGAAGGACAAGAACTTGTTCCAAATCCAAAAATCAAAACAGGTAATCAGTTGTCAATTTTGTTTGTGTTGCAGTTTGATTATGAGTATTAGTAGATTTTTAGGCAATTATTTGTTGATTTCTGTTAGATTTTACTTCTTTAGTGTAATATTTTTAAAAGACTCTCGTGGCAAACGTAGAACTTTCATCGACTGAAGTAATTTGGATATGCTATTATACCTAACTACTGCCAACCTCAATAGTCAATGTTGTTTGGTGTAGGAGTGAGCTGAAAGGAAGTTAAGGGTGTCCAAACCAAGACTTGATGCCAGTCCATGGACTGATTGATTGTAAGTCTAGAATGCGGACTACCTGGTTGGTGTCGGCGCGATAACCGTATTCATTGGCTGCAGAGTTTGGGTGACACGGTTTAGAGTTATTCACGATGGCGCAGATGAACTTGCTTGTTATCTTTCTCTGATCATGAATTCCGGTATTCCTTTTTATATAACTTTAAAAGCTAAGAATTACGATAAGTAATGGAGATTAAATTGGAAGAATATCTGTAAGCTATATTGGTCAAAACTTATGCAGATCGATATTTGAATTGATAACTCTAAAACTTTAAAGTTACCTTGGACTGTTTATAAATGTTAGGCAACGCTGACTGTGGTAGATCACACGAACACTCTTACCAGTAATCTGAATCTTATCGAATACAGACAGTGAATAATAAGCATTTCATATAAAATATACTTTAAAAGCAGTTGTTTCATTTATTTTAGCTTAACACCATGTAGCATTCACTGTATTTTTGCGCAACAAGTAAATTTGTCGATTTCAAGCACCTCAAGAAACGAGATACAGGTAATTTTCACTTAACTGTTACAAGGTGTGAGTCACTATCTTTCGAATTTCGGGCAAAGATCTAATAAATTCGTTGATACTCTGTAGTTTTAACAAAGTAGGAAGTCATGTTAAGTTTATGAGCCCATGATAATAAGATTTTCAGTAAAAACAATAATTTTATGATTTTTTGCTGACTACTGTAATGAGTCTTGGTTAAACCTTTTAAAAATAATTAATTACTGACATTTCATATCTGTAGCTCTATTAAAAATGAAGTATAGGACATAGCTTACAACGAATTCGTGTTAAGAACAAATGATATAAATATTTAAATCTGAAGTTTTACATCGCAGAGCGACTTCTGTTAGGTAATCGTTGAAAGTTAAAAGATATTGAACCGTTATTTTGTCCCAAAATGAGGTTCAACTAGTAGGTAGCCAGTTTAAACCTGGTTCAACCAACTACTTTGGTTTGGGTATATAAATAGTATCCATATATTTACTTAAACCTGTTATTCCTTCACGTAACATCGACCACCGACCGGAAATCTTCACAGCCATCATACAAAAGTATGTTTCAAAACCGAGTAAATAAATTTATACCTAGAAATGAGCTACATTGAAAAACGTTTTGCAACATTTTCTTTACTTCTTGTATTATCGATTTATATAATTCTGTTTTTCCACTTATTTGTTAGGGATTTCATTGTATCTATTGGTAATTTTACAATGAACATACATACACATGTAAATGCATTATGTATACAGCCTTGTACAATATATCCGATTTATTTCAACATACATTTACCATAAGTAATTGTCATAAAGTTTTATCTTCAAATTATCCTCATATTATTGATTATTCTGGTTGGCGTATTTTTAGCAAGGTTGTTTTCTACAGAATGAAGTTGCTAACCCCTTGCCCAACTCTCCTCCTTTGTGTGGATTTGGGACCGACAGTAATCCTAGGAGAGCTACAGGTGGGGTTATATCATTAATCGATGATAAGTACCGGTATATATATAATTCAGAGTTTTTTTCTTCAAATTTATAAGGTTTAGCGATGAGCCTATCAGAAGCTGATTTAATACCTCGTGTTTATAATTCAGAAGAAGACAATCAACACTTTTCAGTACCTACAACAATGGCAAATATACAATCAACAAATATCACTTGGTATACAATTGGTCCAAGGCGTTTAGCAAAAGAATATTTTATGTTAACTTTTCAGTTTGAAGAAGCTTTTAAATTAGAATCATTATCCCAACTGAACAAAGTTTATGTTCAGGTGAACATATTGGTGGATTTCATTTTACATGTGAACTATTTGGTATTACAATTTACTCTAATCAATTCAGTCAATTAATGCAAGTGAAATTCAATCCAATCGAACAAACTTTCTATATTAAGTGAGTTTTTTATGTGAAAAGAAAATATTTAGTCATGATAAACTTTGATTGATTTTATTCACGAATTAAACACTGATTTCTAGCTAAATAAAGTAAAAGAATTTATGCTACAGTGCTACAGGGTTTAATTCAATTAAACGGCTATGGGGATTTATTGCATAAAACTAAATAAAATATATTTTAGCAGTTGAATTCACGAGTCAATCTAAGTTAAACCACCATTGAAAACCTGGAAGCGCTGGAAGGCCGTTTTGTCCTATTATGGGCTCTTCAGTAGTGTGCATCCTCTATCCCGCACGCGGGATTCCAACCCAGGTCCTTATGTCTCGCGCGCGAATGCCTAAACTCTAGACCACTGAGCCGGTATCCAGTGGTGACAACGTCTAACTTCAATCGATCCATGATCTTGTGCAACCCTTAATCCATTGTCCGAAGTGGATAACTGTCTCCATCCGACACGGATTGAACTCCACTGATCACGGCTTCTAGCAAAAACTCCAGGAAATCCAGCTTGAAGCTAGTCACTAGTGAGCACATAATTATTGTCATTATGGGGATTGCCTCATGAATTTAAGTGTTAAAATACTACAATCTCCACAGATCCCCATAATGATAAATAAAATGTCTAAAATATATGACAACGATTGAAACATATTACAATTTAGCAAAAAAATAAACAGTATGAAACATTATGATTGTCAAATTGTGAAGTATTTATTGATATGTGATAACAATTATGACTTACCCAGTGCAATTTACTACTAGTGAAGTTATTTACTCATCACGGAGTGCCATCTAAGTTCAATAATAATCAATGGTGAAAGAACGGACTTGGGATGGAAAATGAAATTCCGGAAGAAAATATAGACTGATGAAATCAAATGTATGGAACATTTACAAACTTTGGATCTGAATAAGACAAAGGTTGGATGAATTTTCGACATTCCAAACGATTTTGAGCCATGCTATTCAAAGGTACGATAATCACGCGGACCTCAAGCTAGTAGTATACACTTGTTAACATTGTTCAGTCCAATTGTTATTGACTCAATGGACTGATGCCTTGTTTTGGTTTGCCCACCCCTAGCTTTCTTTCAGTCTACTCCTTCATCAGCCAACATTCCCCATAAGAGTAGATTTTGATTGGGCACACGTAACACATATGCCAACCACTTCAGTTGATGAAAACTTACTACCTTATCATTCGATTTACCGTCATTACATACTATCCTAACCTCGTCATTTCTCACTCGGTAATCCTAAAATACCCAGACTATGCTTCGAAGACGCCTATGATCAAATATTGGTAACCTATAAATAAACTTTATTCTTAATGAACCATGATTCACAGCCATAGAGTAGAATGAAGCGAACTGTTGCACAGCCATGCTAACTGATTCAATATGATCGTGAACTGTTTTTAAAGTATGAGACGGTTGACAGAAACTACAATAAGCCTTACACAGAAGTTTTATATTCTTTAACACCATTTCACAAAACGTATTTGGTAACCGTTTGAAAATGACTAGTGCTTATGCGATTCGAATCCATTTCACTTTGTTTCAAATTCAAAAACATGACCAATTGACTGTCTGGGTTAATCGACATGAAATATAGGTTTAGGATTTTGTTCTGATTGTTTTTAATCGTTTTACCGTAAATTAATCTGTTTTTCAGTTTTTAAGATCACATTCATATGTATAAAATTACATGTTCCCCAACTATATGTATAACTAGCTGAACTAATTCTCTTAAGACTACAAGCGCTAATCAACAGTAATGACTCAATTATTCCCTGTCATCAGAGTGATTTGTTTCCCTGTCAGAAAATAAAATAATTAATAATCTAATCAGAGTCGCCTAGTCTATAAAGCATTAAATAATTCCCACCCGTAGATTTTAATTCACTTTTAAGACTAATTGTTAATATTTATAATCTTGGTGAATATATTTTGAGAACCTTCTGAGTAAAACTTTTTCAGCAGTTAACAATGTTCTAATAATCAAACAACTGTTTCCATTTCTTTTTTTTGAGATCTTTTAAGATCAGTAGTGAGGTGACTTCCATTTCTCAATATGCTATCTAAACGTATGTTTCTTTTTCATTTCAGATCAACAGTTGATATTCTACGTATTTATTTTGTGCATATTACTCCATTAGTGATCAAATTTTGTTTTGGAAGTCATGTATTAGCACATGCAACTGTTCCAGTAGAACAACTAATACCGTTCAATGATCATATACTACAGAATACTGCTGTATTAAATAGAAGTTTTGACGTAAGACTCAATATTTTACTCTTGTCGCAGCTAAAATCAGTCAGTTTTGTTAGTAATTAGTGTAAGAAACCATTGACTTATTTACTTACTTTTTATTAGATATTCACTTCAAATCTCCCTTCTAAATATTGTCGAATTTACATTCATTTTTACAACCAATGCAAGAGGTTGAGATTATTTAAATTTTACTAAAGAATAATTTTTTGAAATAATATGGGTGTTCATCTGACACTATTTCATGATGATTCACTGGAATCGAAGTTTGCTTAGCACAGATAAGCTCATAAACCTGTAATATACCAGCGGAACTTTTCCGACTCAATAACAAAAGTTCACACAATTATTCTTGAGCTTTTCGCAATGCTGTTTATGTACATACAAAGATCATGAAAAAGACTTCTATAGTGCCGTATGTACAAGTTAATTTATAGAATACTTTTCGAAAAGAAGTTATCACCAACTGTGGAGAACAAGAACACAAGTGGGGACTATCGATTATATTTGGATACACAAATTATACTACGTCTTAGTAAAATCTGTGAACCATATACTAAATACTTCATTTGCAAAATGTTAATCAATCGTCTCACACTTCATTGTTCCTTCACTTTCACAGCAATCATTCTCTGTTCTCGTTCTCTTTTCTTCGATCTTCTTAACCTTCTGCCGCCAGTCATTTCACTTTCGATGCATGATACATGCTACTTATATCTTTTGACATCAGTAGCACACACCACACTGACATCAAAACACTTTTACTTATGAATACAAATAATCTATTAAAGTTTTCTACATCATGACCAGCTAAAATAGGAAAAACCTTCAAGGTCGTTTAGCAGCCAATAATTTTTAATTTGACTTCAGTTTGAGAGTAATATCTCTTAATTTAAAACCATTTTTCATTAAAATGATAAACAGATTGGAAGTGTATTTTATTCACTAGGATTCCTAGTATTTTCTTGCGTTTAACAAAACAAATTATTATTTCTTCATTTGTCCTATTTTACATACTTATTTATGAGTTACAATTTGTTGTTTTACTACGTTCCACATTATTTGGGCAAGCGATTTCAAGTGGCTTCGTTGCAAGTATGTTATCTTCTTGTAATCGCTGAATGAAAGTTTTTGGAACTTTTCGTCTTCTCTCTAGCCCAGTTTATTTTCTTACAAACTGGTGTTCGTGAATGATCTCAGAAGTTGTGACCTTTTTATTAGTATATAGTCGTTATCTCAAGTCTTATTATTGTTGTTTTAATGTAATTAAAATTAAAGTTTTTGAGTTATTTTATTTCAGATTTTAATTTTTCTTCTCTCTTTAGCTTATATCCGAAGAATCTGATCAACAATTAAAAGAATATCAAAGTAAGCATACTGAAGATAAACCACGTGTCAATATAAACATAACACTTCGACGATATCCTGATAAAAATGCAATACAACAACGATCAACCATGACAAATAATAATAATAGTAGCAGAAGATTGCGCAATATGACAGATTCATTGAATCATATTTTTTCACTGAATCTCGATCCATATGCAGATGTAAATACAATGAGTTCGAATGTAAATGAAAATTATGGTAGGTTAATTTCATTTATTACTTTTAATAAATAACTGTTTGTGTGTTTTCCTATAGATCAGTTTGTAACTTCGTTACCGGAGGTAAGCATCCAGTACTATTATTGTATCTTTTTTAATTATTATTTCTGACTATATTTTAAATATGTGTATAGCTTCACTAGCTCAACCACTCAGTATACTCTTAATGTCTTTGTAGAAATTTGCTGCTCACCGTAGATCAATTCAATCAGAGGTTTAGGTATTTGATTGTCAATCATTTAGTCAAAGACTTGAACTGCGATGTATGTATTTCGGATCCAGCAACTAAATAGTGTCTTTAGTCCTTAAAAACCTGATTAATAGGATCAATTTCTTCATGAGTAATTGCTTTACTGACTCGTGCAGAAATATTGACAATCTAAATCATACGAAACAGTCAGTTTCTATCCATGTTCATGTAACTTATTTACCAAGTACACCAATTTATATACTCATCTTTAATTTATATCATTTGTGTGAAGTTATGTGATACCACCAGAATATCTAACCGAAATAAGTGAATGGCTAGGTTCGAAATGAAGACCTACTAATTGAAAGCTAATTACTTTCATCACCACGGGATTGATTCACAAATAATCAGTCAATGTAGTGTAATAATAGACAATGGAAAAAACATTTACATTTCTCACAGTTATGTATAAGCTTAATTGTAAATACTTCACGTCAGTATACAAAAAAGCAATCAATGAAAATAGGTACAAAGCAATGAAAATCAATGATATAAACATTTATTTGAAATAGGAAAAGAGAAGCATCTGTGAGAAAACTATGATATGAAATGAATATGGCGTAACACAATATGTGTTGTTCGGAATTCGGGATTTTTAACTGATGGTTTTGATTGCTTCAATATTTCATTAAAGATCTTATTCAACATTAATCAGTTTTTATAGCTTTGTGTAATTCCTTGATGTGACCATCCGTTGTTAACTTTCGTTTCATTTAGGCTTCATCTTATGTAGTATGTTTAGGTGAACTTTGATTTAGTGAAATAACTAATAACACAATCTCAGCGTCGTTTCGCAACTTCCATAGTGTTATAACTCAGTAGCTTATAAGTTACAGTCGTTATTCTTTTAAGTGAACAATATTTAGAATTATGTAAATTTTAATCAGAGATTATTTTAATGCAATGTTTACATTTAATTTCTGTGCACTTGGCCACCAGTTTTGTCAAAATGTACGTACGAATTTCGATGAACGTGCTCATACAGACTATTAGTTCATATAGTATTCTGTGCAACAAAATTGACTAAATCATACACTTATACTTGAATGTGAGCATGTATGTCGAAAAAGTACTATAGTATGTATTGTTCTGTACATATGTTTGGCCTTATTTCAACATAACAGAACATTTGTGGCTATCCCAAACAATTATTCATATTAGGTAAGGGGCTAATGCATTCAATTTATCTTTTTTCTCAATTAAGATTGTGTAAATATACGCCAAGATTAAGATAAAACGTTACAAATAATTACACTATAACGTGTATTCAAGGCTAAGATAAAGTTTTTTGGGGATAAATTCCTTCACAGGGAAAAACACTTAAACAATCCAGTAGAACACTTGAACGTGATGATTTTTTATGTCCATCAAACCTGCTGAACGTTTATCAGTCAATGGATGGTACACCCAATTGGCATCGTTATTGTTACACTATTGAACTAAGAAGTGTAAAAAGTATTCAAGGTTTCGACCATGAGTTACAACTTTACGCCAGGTATGTGAAACTTTATTTGACTTCGACTATACACTACTGATATCTTTAAATAATTAGTGAGGTTCCCGTAATGTTGTTACTGTTAAATAATGAGGGCTTTAAATAGTTTTTAAACACTCTCATTATACCATTATAGTTTTATTGTCAACTTAATAGCTAGTTTAAACTAAGAGTTTGTTAAAAAATGACTTTTTTTATAGGTAAGACAGCATTGTCATAAACAAACGAAATTATGTATTAATTTAAAAATAAATATACAACACCTTGTCAACTAACATTGCAACTTACTAAAGTACATTAAGAGGGAAGAGAGATTTTTTTCACAAAGAGATTGTACTGTAACGATGGTGATTATTGTTTGCTATAATTGTTTTTATCCAGTTTTCCAATCAAAGGAATTTATACAACTCATCAATAGGTTGCTGCTTTTTAGAAGCTTAAATAGATTTTATGTATATATACTCACTAGAACTTTAAAAATTAAGTTGCAATGTTTTTAAGAGGGATATTTAGTTGTATCGCAAACTTTTTTCTTTAATCCAGAAAATATTATGGAACTAAATGTTTGATAATTGATGTTATTATTCACTTGATATTGTTTTACTTGAATCTTCCCATTGATGTTTAGGACTGAAATTGATCAGTTTTATTGGCATATGTGCATATTGTGCGTATGCCTCGATATTGCCTTAATTTACAAGCATTATGAGCAAAGATGGATAGTGGCTAGCAGTGGAATCCAGGAGTGAACATCAACTCTGAGATGCAGGTACATCCAGCTGACGAGTCCCAAACAGGACGAAACGCGCGTCCTGGATTCCACTGCTAGCCACTATCCATTTTTGCTTATGATGTTATTATTGTTTAAGTTAGAAGACTGTATTTAGTTCTCGGAATTTATTTATGCATAACTCAATGAATAGTTTTACAGTAATTAAATAATTAGTTCACGTTATAAATTTACATTCGAGCTGATAAAATCAGCAATAATAGTTAAAAGTCATTAAAGACAAAAGCAAAAATGACTAATTTAATTTAGTTGAACAACTAAAGAGTACACTAACCGGTAAGTAAGCAAGTGGTTGGTTTGCTATTCGGAAAACATTATAACGTCAAGAAACTATGTAGTAAAATACTAGTTATTTTTATGTAATATAGGTCATATAAATCTCCAGAAAAGCTCCTCATTTCTAGAATGATTCCAACAGTTCTATCTGAATCCATCTTTTTACTATACGAACAAAAACATAAATAATATTAGGTATCTCCAATCACCTAGCTTCTTAATATGTTGCACGCGATGGTAAGTCACTTGGACTAGTGGTTATATTTCAACTTCTTTGATAGGATTTGATCACCACTGAAAGAACTAGATAAACATGACAGCGTTCACTACACAGTACTTAATCAATTTAAGGACAAATCAATTAATCAGGAATAATTTGTTCTCTGTATTTACTTAATTAGCTTGTTACCCTCGTGGAGGGGCATAGGCCTCCCACCAGCATTCTCCATGAAACTCTGTCCTGAACAATCCTTTCCAGTTCCTATTCATCCTTTTCATATCTGATTCCGATTCCTGATGCCATGTGTTCTTGGTCTCCCACTCTTCAGTTTCCCTTCACAATCGCAAGTTAGCACTTGCCTCGTGATGCAGTTTGATGATTGCCGCAATGTATGTCTTATACAACTCCAGCGTCTTTTCTTAATTTCCTATCCAAATGGAAGCTGGTTTGTCCTCTCCCACAGTAGGTTGTTGCTGATGGTATTCGGTCAACGGGCATTGGGTATCTTGCGTAGACAATTGTTTAGAAATACTTGTATGTTTTGATGATAGTTTTAGTAGTTCTCGAAATTTCAGCTCCGTACAGTAGAACTGTCTCGATGTTCGTATTGAAGATTCTCACCTTGATGTTGGTCTACAGATAGTTGTTTTGAGTTCCATATGCTATCCAACTGTAGGAATGCTGCTTGTGCTTTGCCATCCGCTTCTTTCCATCTGCACCGCATCCTCCTTGTTGATCAATAATGCTATGCAGAGCTTCTCTATCAAGTGTGACTGAGTTGGTGCTCTCCATGTTGTGTTTGAGGATTCTGCTTTTTCCTTTGTCTACATTGAGGCCTACTGATGCAAACACGGCTGGTTCACTGGATATCTCCACCTGGATTCGTTGGTGTTTATGAGGTAGAAGGGCTAGTTTAACTGTGTAGTTCAAATCGTCTAGTTTGTATTCAAGCTGTCCATTGTGATCCTTGCATCTCCTCAGATGTGGAGGTCTCCGTGATCCAGTCAACCACCAGAAAAAAGGAAAAGGTAGAGAGTGTAAGCAGCGTTGTCTGACTTTGGTCCTCACTTGAAATGTGTCTGTGAGCTGTCTTCTATGCGCGACTTTGCAGTGTAGTCTGTCGTATGGATTCTGTATGCTGTTGACGATTCTCTCAGCTACTCATACCAAAATGTCCAAGAATGTCCCATAAGGTTCTCCTATCCACACTGTAAAATGCTTTCTCAGAGTGAAGGGACTTGATGTATGATGACCATTTTGTTGAATGCATAGAAATTTGCAAATCTGCCGCCATTATCGTTTCTTTCTCTAAGTCCATATCGTCCCATGGTATCTTCACATGTGATGTCGTCTATTTCAACTTGGCGCTTAAGTCTCTTCCTGGACGCTTAACTATAATCGACTTCAGCCTCTCGTAAAACTGATGTTTATCACCGTCGTTGCTATCATTGGTGGGTGCATAACACTGGATAAAATTCATCGTGGTTCCCTCATTCTTTGTTTTGAAGTATGCTTTGATGATTGTGGTTCCATCGAGATTCCCATCTTGTGAGTTCATTATGTGCTTCTATGAACAGTATCAGAGCAACTTTGTGAGTGTGTGATGCATTCTCCTCTTCGTGACCAGATTACAGCAACATCTTACCCTTATCTAGCCTTTTGGTGTTCTGTTTGATTCCAATGGGCTTCACTTATTCCGAGCAGTGTCAAATTGTATCTTCTCATTTCCATAGGTATCTGATTGGTCTTCCCGGTCTCTCACATTGTTTGGACATTCCATGTACCTATTTTGATTGTTGCTGTGGTTGTTATAAAGGGCATCGACCTCGTGGCTTCAGAAAAATCTGGACATTCACCATGAGTTGTCATAATTCTTCTGAATGAAGATGCTTGAACTCGGAGGAACAAGTTGAAATAATTTAAATTGTGTTTTGTGGTTAGTGTTGTTTCAGCAAGATTGTTTCATATGGGATCGGGTTTTTGACCCGATACCCAATCTTCCTCCTTTGTGTGGGCTTGGGACCGGCAGTAACGCTGGAAGATCTTCAGGTGTTTTTTCCTATATTTAGTTACCTAATAATTTCTGGTGTGAATTTCCTTTTCCATTAGTTTAGCATAAAAAATTCTTTACAAACTTTCCAACTGATTTTAACACATAATATTTACTAATTATTCGTAGTGCTGATAATATTCTGTTAACCACTTTGTGAAATGGCTAGGAGTCAAACTGATTGACCCAATATTTCACCCCACCTTTGTTGTGCATTAGCTGGTTGTAGATAATCGACTAGCAACATTAAAGCTAAGTTTCTTGGCACTTATCAAATATTTGTCGTACGGATGTTATTAATCTCAGACCTCGTATATTAGTGATAACTCCCTGACTGAGGTACACTGACTCTCATTCTTGAAAATCATCTGACAGTTGGTTGAATTTAGTCCCGTGAAGCTCATCATTTTTGTTTTAGACGATGATAATTCAGCATTTGAACTTTCTGGTTTAGGGAATACAATCTCACTAAAAGCATTCACCAGTGCTGAATACCCTTTTCCCTACCCTTATTTATGATCTTACAGATATGTATATCCATTGTTTGGAAGTGGAGCCCCAGTTATGACACTTCCACCAATTGCCGTAGCCAGACATCAAGAGGTTATTCTTCCGCATGGGTTTTGTGCTTTTGAGTTTGCTGCATCGCCTGAAGAAGTAAGATTTGTTTTAATGAAGAAATCATCGTATTTTGTTTTACCAAGCTGGTTTGAGTTATACGTGTCTATCTTCGTAAAATTTCCACCTAGTATTTGACAAGACATCTTTCTAGAGCATATTTTATTATAGGGTTTTCGAACCACTGTACTTTATTCAATCCTGTAGTAAATTCTTTAAAATGAATGAGAAGGTAAAGAAAACATCAGAGTAATCTCTTGAGTTTTATTTACCCTTCGAATCCATATACGGGACTGAATCTGAGGTTTTTATATAGTAATGGAAATCATGCAGCATATTTCACATTTCGAGGGACCCATCAGTTGTATGTAGTTGTTGCACAGCAGACTGAATTAGTTGGTTTTTTTCCGGTAGAGATGATCATTTACTTATAATCCCGATGATGTTTAGTCAACAGCTACATGAAACACACATAAATGTTTTTAGGTAATGTTTAAGTCTGAAACCAACTTCGATATTTCTTGTGCTAAGTAGATGGAATTGTATAAATCCGTTAAGCTGAAGTGTTGTTGCCAAGGCTTATTGGTAACAGAACAATTATTTAAAGCAAGTTTTTTAATAACCATATAAGACTTCATTTCTTTCTTCTTATTGCTCTAAAAGGTCGCAATTTTAATCTACGGTTGCTTTGAGGCTTTCAAAAGAAACTATTGTCAGAAACCGTCTGGGTTAGATTAAGATGTCGCCTATTTGTGACAGACCAGTTTCCGAAAGATTTCGTAATTCGGGGCTACAAATAAATTCATTCAAACTTAATCAGTTTGTAAAACTAACTCGCTTAAGAATTACCTTCTTAAACAGCTCAGTGTTATGTATGTCAGCATTAGATATAGAATGTAAAACAGATCTCATTAATCCTCATAGTATTACCAGGACAAGTACTAGGAATCGTGAGCTGTTACACAATTTAACCAAAATTTCATAGTCTGTAGAACAGAGCTCAACTAATTTGCACATTCAGTAATGATAAGGAAGTTCTTAGCAGTTATATAAAGAACCACCAGTGTAGAGTAAAACTTACGAAGTGATTTTATAAAGCAAAAGTAACTCATACCTTTTAATGAGATCATGACAAACTTCATTGTCAGCAGATTATTTCCCAATTAATTTTACTCGAGCGGTTCGTCATCACCATAGTCAGTCATTGCCAAGGAAGAACAAAATATTGATCCTAATATGAGAGTGTTTTTTATGTGCAAATATTAGTTGATAAAATAACTAAGTTGACTTGTCTGGAAACGTGTATGAATAATTTTATGCCCAAGATAAAATACCAAACAGCATGGCAAAATACTCTTAATTACTTTAACCTTTTGAAATTAGTAAGGTTGGGACTAAATGTTAAGCACTGATCCTAACAATCATTATAATTTGAAGGATTTATTTGACGTTAGTAGTCTTCTGTCAAGTAAGTACAGTTAATTCACATTGTAGTTCATATTTATGTGTGACCGGAAAGTTGTAAATAGTGATCACATGATCTTATCGGGATTATGATGACTTCAGAATATCTTAGACACTTACGTTTTCAATGGTTAGAACGGAAATTCAGGCAATGTATCTTATTGATTGGTGGAACTAACGTAGCAGCTCCTTTACTGTTACACAACTACATGGTTTATTCTGAGATCCAGACAGATAAATTAATCTGCTTTTTTGGCGTCATTATGTACACATGTATTCGCCACTGTCAATTACACACTGGTTACCTCGGTTGTTTTTTGGGTGTATGCGTGAGTGTGTGTGTCTATCATTTATTCCGTTCTCCAGTTTGTCTGACTAAAAATATGGAGTCACGTTTGGTTAAATTGAGTTGGTTATATACGTTTTATTTATCATCGATGACCGAGAACAAATGAATTAAGTAAGAACTAAAATAAGTGTTCTTGAATATATATTTCAGTAATTTCATTCACTGAGGTGTACGGTAGTAATAAACGATCAAAATGTTTTGGATTGAATGGAAACAGATGGACTGAAATAATATTAGTATTGTAAAAACACCAGAAATAAGCCTCTTTGTAACTGAATTGAATTTATATTGTTACTGGCACTGAAAGTCGATAGGAATTATATTATAATAGAAATAATACTGGCAGGAATAACCAGCAATTAATTGTATTGTAGTAAAATAAATCCAGAGCTGGATTAGACTGGTCTAATCTTCATTGTATTGAAATGAATACGAACTTTCCAGAGTGTCAAATAATAGGCATGTCTTAAGCATTTATATACCAATATAGTGATGGAATATGATGAACAAATAAATGGTAGGGTAACCAAACAAAGGAAGATTTTTAGTGGCCCGTTGATCTGATTCCGATTCCAAAGAATAAACATGCTGTGAATATAAACCCTCCATTCAATTTCGTATATTACGCCTAGGTTAACCCCGTTAAGAAAAAGCCAAATACAAATCGAGTTGGATGATTTACTTCATACACTCGTTTACGCAAACAGATATCGAAAATGAAAAAGCAGAAAGCAAATGTTTCAACTCCATTTTGTAGGGCGTAACTCAACTATAGCCGGAAAAATATAAGCTTGATATGTGTGAATTGGATAAGTGACATACACACATACTCTCATATAAAAATAGTCAAGGTTAATAAGCTAGTGATTGACAAGGTTAAAAGTGACTGAAGAGTAAATAACTTGGTCTGTTCAGAAGCTAAAGTAACACATATGGGCTTGACATAGTACTAGATATAACAGATTCACGTATAAGCATTCGAATTATTCACACAATTGGGAACAAATTAACCAAAAGAATTGAATTAATTCACTTGACAGTCATATGCTCATTCACATATCGTATTCTAAATTGAATATACAATTATGTTCATTTAACGTGTCTATTATTAAATACCGTAGTTGGCTATTTCTGTTGCTTGTAATTTCACTTCATCTCGTATCGCCGCCTACATTATCGAATGTCTAAAATAGACATTGTTCAAATAATTTCATTTTCGACTTTGTTTTATTTACGTTGTTATTATGGAGATAATATAAAGTCAAATAGGATATATATTTTATTAACGTTATCCAACTGTTATGAAGTCAAATATTAACGTATGACTACATCAAGTTGTTAATCTATTTATGTATTTTTTTTAATAAAAATAAACCATATACTCATTTCTATTTACAGACCTATTGAAATAGTGTTTTTTTTAAAAAAATTTTTAATACTACAATCTTAGTTAAAAACTCGTCTTAATGACAATCCATTGAAAGTGGAATTTTTCGATCGATCACAAGGTACTTTAGCAACAGATTCCTTCATTGGATATTCCCTTATACCTTTAGTATCAGTCTTTGAATCATCAATTGTTAAAGGTTAGAATTTAATTTAAAACTTTGTTTAACTATATTTTTGTTATTGTCGCTGTCATTGTTAATCACTACATCACATATTGAATTAAAAAGATCATTAGGATTGTTATATAATATTAACATAATAATAGTTATGATTCAAGCATCCTAAAGATTATCTACAATTCCCTGATAGGTCCTGGGTTCGAGTCTCACGGGGTGCGGGATCGTGGATGCCCACTGCTGAGGAGTCCCATACTAGGGCGAAACGGCCGTCCAGTGCTTCCAGGTTTTCCATGGTGGTCTAGCTTCAATTGACTCATGATCTCAATCTGTGAAATTCCCTATTGATTATTGTGACCATAATTTTCATATGTTAATTATATTTAAATGGAAAAGATAACTTAATAACCCTCTTACTTTAAAATGAGAATTTTTGTTTTCAAATTGCTTAAAACATATAAATAGTTTATCAATAGTGATTATTACTTTAGATGACGAGTAAACGGTTAGTTTCTGGTTTCTTAAGTTTAATTTTCTTAATGAAATACTTTTTCTAAATTAAAACTAGGTTGTTAAGTAGAAGGCTTAGTAAACTAAATTTTATTTTTTTTAGATTACTGTACTGAACTTTTTTTTTTCTTAGAGTATTATTCATTTTAACAATTGGATGGTGGCCGGCACTGGAATCTTATTTGGAATTTTTCAATCGGATGTGCCTGTATGCAATAGTTAATGTTGTAGTAGTTCTCGAAGTTTCAGCTCCGTACAGTAGAACTGTCTCGATGTTCGTATTGAAGATTCTCACCTTGATGTTGGTCTACAGATAGTTGTTTTGAGTTCCATATGCTATCCAACTGTAGGAATGCTGCTTGTGCTTTGCCATCCGCTTCTTTCCATCTGCACCGCATCCTCCTTGTTGATCAATAATGCTATGCAGAGCTTCTCTATCAAGTGTGACTGAGTTGGTGCTCTCCATGTTGTGTTTGAGGATTCTGCTTTTTCCTTTGTCTACATTGAGGCCTACTGATGCAAACACGGCTGGTTCACTGGATATCTCCACCTGGATTCGTTGGTGTTTATGAGGTAGAAGGGCTAGTTTAACTGTGTAGTTCAAATCGTCTAGTTTGTATTCAAGCTGTCCATTGTGATCCTTGCATCTCCTCAGATGTGGAGGTCTCCGTGATCCAGTCAACCACCAGAAAAAAGGAAAAGGTAGAGAGTGTAAGCAGCGTTGTCTGACTTTGGTCCTCACTTGAAATGTGTCTGTGAGCTGTCTTCTATGCGCGACTTTGCAGTGTAGTCTGTCGTATGGATTCTGTATGCTGTTGACGATTCTCTCAGCTACTCATACCAAAATGTCCAAGAATGTCCCATAAGGTTCTCCTATCCACACTGTAAAATGCTTTCTCAGAGTGAAGGGACTTGATGTATGATGACCATTTTGTTGAATGCATAGAAATTTGCAAATCTGCCGCCATTATCGTTTCTTTCTCTAAGTCCATATCGTCCCATGGTATCTTCACATGTGATGTCGTCTATTTCAACTTGGCGCTTAAGTCTCTTCCTGGACGCTTAACTATAATCGACTTCAGCCTCTCGTAAAACTGATGTTTATCACCGTCGTTGCTATCATTGGTGGGTGCATAACACTGGATAAAATTCATCGTGGTTCCCTCATTCTTTGTTTTGAAGTATGCTTTGATGATTGTGGTTCCATCGAGATTCCCATCTTGTGAGTTCATTATGTGCTTCTATGAACAGTATCAGAGCAACTTTGTGAGTGTGTGATGCATTCTCCTCTTCGTGACCAGATTACAGCAACATCTTACCCTTATCTAGCCTTTTGGTGTTCTGTTTGATTCCAATGGGCTTCACTTATTCCGAGCAGTGTCAAATTGTATCTTCTCATTTCCATAGGTATCTGATTGGTCTTCCCGGTCTCTCACATTGTTTGGACATTCCATGTACCTATTTTGATTGTTGCTGTGGTTGTTATAAAGGGCATCGACCTCGTGGCTTCAGAAAAATCTGGACATTCACCATGAGTTGTCATAATTCTTCTGAATGAAGATGCTTGAACTCGGAGGAACAAGTTGAAATAATTTAAATTGTGTTTTGTGGTTAGTGTTGTTTCAGCAAGATTGTTTCATATGGGATCGGGTTTTTGACCCGATACCCAATCTTCCTCCTTTGTATGGGCTTGGGACCGGCCGTAATGCTAGAAGAGCTACTGGTGGAGTTATTGTTGATATTCAGGACTGCAATTATTCAGTCTTGGTGGCCATATTTGCTTTTTGATGATTTTGCTTCAATACATTGTTATGTTTCATATGTGACAACACAAATCCGTCTTAAAAACTGACAAACATCTCATTCCTTCGCAGGTTATTTATCACATATTTCGTGTGTTAGTGATAACTCCCTCTCTGACTGAGACTTAGGATTGAACACTTGTCCTACATTCTACTACTGGCTACATACCATATACACTGAGAATTCTATCCCGACAGTAGCCGAATAAACTCGAGTAATGATAACAACAAAATTATGTCGAGACCCAAAATGGTTCATATTAGTCATCCCAAAAGTAACGACTTGATTTTATAAGACAAACAACAATTCTTGATTCACATATTACAATTTTAAATGATGTACTCTGCTTTGAATCTGGCCAGTTCTATGGATGATTAATATAGATTTATAATTGTAGAACTTGAGAAATATTGAAAAGAATATTCTTCCTTCATATAATTGTGTTTTAATATCCAGGTATTCTACGACCAATGCCATAATTCTTCTTATTTCACCGCTACTATCTTTTACATAGGCTGTAAACACAAATTCACATGAGGGTATTTGCGTGTTTGGTATAGGTCCCACGTTGATTTTCATTTTCGACATATTGTTTCCATTTTAAAATATAACCTACTCGAGTGCTGATACGCTTTAAGTTATCCTCACATCTTATGTGTCATATTATTAATAAGATGTACAATTTCAATATTGAATTGAACAGTTTTCATTATTTTTGGTTTATTCCAGCCACAAAAGAATCGTCTACTTTAGTCAGACGTATAAATGATAGTGTTGACATGTTAGCTGAACAAAGCAACACAAATGAATTAAAGTTGTTGGACAACTTGTCTATTCATTACAGTTAGAAGATTTCGGTGCACATACTGTAGATAGTAATGCATCTGTATTGGATATGACAAAGGGATTAGTTCATCAAATAAATGATGAAATCAAGGTAAGTGATGCAAAATGATTTATCACTTTCGAAAGTTTGAAAAATTTTGAGATTGTCTTCACGGCTTCAGTGGTGAGATTGACTAAGAGAATATCAAATATATAAAAATGCAGGACAGTTGTTTTGACGTGATTTTTACACTTAATTAATAGATTGTAATTAAATCAATGTATAGATTAGTAACATTATCTACAGTTTACTTTTGCCTGTGAGGTTCTGCACCCTCTAGACAAAAATGATTAGTGATAAGTTCAATAATTTGGGTTTTTCCTAATTCTTTATCTTGATCGAATCCTATCAATTTCAAGTCATATAGCAACTGACTAAAGTGATAAGCATTAATTCTCGTATGTTATGATTGTTTGAAACCCTTATTGTCTGACTTCGATTATTATAAACGTAATTCAGTCTTTGTAGATATATAGAACCCTAATCTCGTCCTCTATCTGAAGTTACAGAAAACGTATATCAGCAATAAACGTAAAGAAATAAATTAATAAACTGAATAGGAAATTAAAATTACTTATATTATTATCTCTTGCTTTCATATCATCCAAATATGTGTGATGACAACAACTATGCTACTTACAATCTGATAGTCTGAACCATCAGATATACGATCAACCCGTGAATATCAAGTGGCCATTGAGTTGGAACTGTGGCGTGCAGCAGAAGAAGCCAAATTCACTGCTCAATTAAAGAAACGAGAACAGACACTGATGGCTACACTTGCTGAAGAATGGCATAAAAGGGATAGTCAACGAGAAATTATATGTCGTAAAAAGGTAGGTATCTAGTCATTTCTATCGGTACATAGCATTTACTGGAGAGAATCACGATCCGGTATACTAAAGTTCTTTTAATAGTAGCTAATCAATAAGTGTGAAGATGCCACAAGTACTTGGAGTCTGACAACACCTTCTATAATCTAAGCGTGCCCACACAGTGAAATCAGGAGTCAGAAGCGTAGAGGTTCGAAGAAATATTTGATAGGTTATCAATATATCGAGAAGTGACTGATCTAAACTGTCTAGCGGTTGTAGAAAGAGCAGAGCGTTCCCACTCGTGATCTGGTGCGGATGCGTGAGCCTTCAGCTCGGTGAGATCATAACAACTAATGTGGTCAGCATCAAATGTCGAAGACTTACAGAGCTATTGATTTCGAAGATTTATTTGTCGCTACAAGTGCTCCTACTTTATAACTGTTATGACCTTGAGTGTCTGACTTTTCGATCACACGACTTATCTACCAATCCGAATACGACTTATACGAATCTTCACACTAGGCCAACCAATGACGTTCAACCGGTGTGGGCAGTTTAGCGTCCTTATTGGTCCTATGTCCTACGAGCCCTTCCACTTGAGTCCAGAACAAGATACCAGCTTCCGAATCAGAGCAGATCGTTTATTTCAGGCATACTTGGTTTATATATCAATCACACAGACCGCAACGTACCATAAAATAGGAAATAATATTTGTACACAAATAAGCCCAAAAAGTGGCTGTGAATGTGGGAGGCAGTAGTTAATAAACTGAACATAACTTAAGAACCGTAAATCGTACAATAATAAATTATAGGCCAAAATAAAGCTTGTCATAAGAGGGATATAAATATACATAGTGTAATTGTTGAGTAGTTATACAATAAGAATATTTATAGAATATTAGTCCATGAATAGTCCTCGGAAGTTACCTGTAATTTAATCTCCACTCGGATATAACACCTCCCCTTTTTTTTTTGAAAATTCCAACTTTAGATTCTGATTAAAAAAAAGAATCATATGTGACTTTAAATTCCTCAACATTCTCCTCCTCCTCGAAATAATGTTGGGTCCTTATGGCTCCAAAATACAACTAGTAGGACTTTATTTAAACCATGTTTCTCGTATTGACTGGAGAAGCCACTAAAAATGACTAGATGATGATGAACGACCTTTGATCTGAGTTCATTATTTTCAAATTCATTATGAATCTCGTTAGCAGATAACGAGTCATTAAGAAAGTCAACGTCTAACAGAATTAAATTAGATTTTTGGCCATCATTCGACTCAGCTGACATATTTCCCTCATTGTTATAAGAAGTTTCATCAAAATCATATGCATTATTCTGAGAATCAATATCTGGCACACTGTCATTAGAAATGGGATAAGTTGACTCAATATAAAATTCTGTCTTCCGGTGATTTTGAGTAACATCTGGTACAATTTGGTTCATCGTGTTGCTCCAGTTATTTTCTGAATACGAGTCACCATAGCTTTCTCGACTAGTAGCACGTGGACCACAATTTTGTTCGAGCTGACGTTTATTTTCGCAGCTAGACAGTACCAGTAGTGTTTCATTTGATTCTGGACTCTGGGCATCATCTACAGGATCTGGCTCCTGATCATCTGGTATTGTCACAACTTCATGTGCATTTAGCACAATATTTTCTTGCTCTGAGCTGGACACGTTACCAATATTACGTTTTCCTTCTGGTATAGAGGGATTTGAATCCTGCACAGGATATGCTTCTGAAATGTCCATTACTGCACCATTATCTGCATGATATATAGATTTCTTATTTTCTGCTTGAATGCAAAGTCTGCCCAAAACTGTTACAAATAGCTGTTGTTGCAAGGCAAACATCTTCTGCTGGTGCTGTAATATTAACCGCAACTGTTCGAAAGAAATCGACATTTTTTTTTGCCAATAATATTAGCTCCAAAAATCACCGGCAATTATACAGCTAATTTATTTCCAAAATCTGAGTCACCACTTGTATTATTATTATTTCTTTGTTGCCAAAATCCCCGTCGCCAATTGTTATGACCTTGAGTGTCTGACTTTTCGATCACACGTCTTATCTACCAATCCGAATACGACTTATACGAATCTTCACACTAGGCCAACCAATGACGTCTAACCGGTGTGGGCAGTTTAGCGTCCTTATTGGTCCTATGTCCTACGAGCCCTTCCACTTGAGTCCAGAACAAGATACCAGCTTCCGAATCAGAGCAGATCGTTTAGTTCAGACATACCCGGTTTATATATCAATCACACAGACCGCAACGTACCATAAAATAGGAAATAATATTTGTACACAAATAAGCCCAAAAAGTGGCTGTGAATGTGGGAGGCAGTAGTTAATAAACTGAACATAACTTAAGAACCGTAAATCGTACAATAATAAATTATAGGTCAAAATAAAGCTTATCATAAAAGGAATATAAATATACAAAGTGTAATTGTTGAGTAGTTATACAATAAGAATATTTATAGAATATTAGTCCATGAATAGTCCTCGGAAGTTACCTGTAATTTAATCTCCACTCGGATATAACAATAACCTTGCAAGGCTGCTACTGAATGCTATAAATTCCACCTATAATTGGGTTACAAACTTATACATAACTCTCATTGCCTGATTATAGTGGTAATTCTTGATACGCTGATATAGTGAGTTGATCAGAAGTAGCCAAATGAGGTCAACTGATGATAATCACAAATGAGCTGAAGGACAAATGCATATGATTGGCTAAGAAATGAACTCATTTTCTATGGGCTAGAATTATGTATATGGACATTTAGCATGTTATTCAGTATTTCACTTGAACTGGTGTACAAACGTACGAAGTCCTACGTTGTTGCTAACTGACTGTTCGATATTTCAATAAATTTCCTCACTCACTCAATAGTCAATTTTGGGGGTTAGTGCTTAGCATGTTGTATTCTAGTATCAGATCACGGACACCCACATAATAATAAAAGGTATCATTCAACTACGAAGATGCGGGCGATTGGTCAAAATTGTTTGTTATTAAAACCTGTACTGAATAAGTACATAAACTTCGTGAAGACTAACAGTGTTGACGAAGTCAGATTTAATAGTGAAATTCTATTTGGATTAGGAATATTGGATGGTGAGTGTCAATGTTACTCACTGTCACCGTATCTGTAAAAGCTTATTATAGACATACTCTCAGGAATAACATTCTTTCAATCTAAATTGTGGAGGTTCGATGTTTTACCAGGTCATTCACCTATCGATGTGGAATATGTAGATGACTTAGTTCTGCCTAATGAAGATAAAATGCAGTTTTTTGATCTCATTGATAAACAAAACAAACCTGTCTGCTATTCTTCTCTCTCCTTTTAAATTCGAAATGACTGGTCTGCATCCATCCCTAGTGTTATAATGTTGCGTTACTCATGCTCAATAATCCGACTGTTAGATAAAGCATCAGAAATAGATCTAAACGAAAATTTGTTATTACAAGATACAAAGGGCAGAAAAATAGATTAAAATATGAATATTTACTTGTATAAGACGCGTTTATCTGCATTGTGACAAATCACCAGATTGAAATATCGCATAGTCTAGATATAGGAAGAGGGATAATTGAGTACAGCGATCCATTACTTATTTTGGAAGTCTCGTTAACCTTAGCGAATTGGTGTCTGATGAGACTTCGACACGGATGTCGAAAGTCCGCTTGACATATGTGTTTGTTGAACAACAGACGAGATATAGGTGGTAAAACTGAGACTTGATACCAGTCCATGTCATGTTGTTAGATGTAGACTACTTGACCGTAGTCCTTGTGGTAACTGCGACCAGTCATTGGTTAGCATGGCTCAGAAGGGATCACAGGCGCGCAGATGCACCCATATTGAATTTCCTCTTAAGTTTTGAGTAATATTTTGTGCTTTCGATTCTCCTTTTTCTTAGAACCATATTATTATTATATAATTTTCGCTATCATTGATAATACTGTTATTTCAACCCAGTACTTATTCATAAAGCTGTACTTAAGACCTAGGCTAGGACACAATTGATCGTGACTGATTACGAAAAATGAATACAACACTTATGATACGTTTTTATTACCCACAGCCCCTTATGATAATTGATGGTGTTTTGCAACACTAATTATAAAATTCTTTTAATGAAAAATACTTCTAAATAATATCAATGTCAAGGATAAGACAGTCCATCATGATTGAAATTTTGTTACAACAAAGAACAATAAGTGACGACTGAATCAATGAGTAAGAATATCGTATGAACGACCTAGCTTCATTCCATTCGATTACGACTGATAGAAACATAGGGAGGTTAGAATGTAGCACAATTTAATTGTTTTCAGTTTACCAAATTAGTCACTGTATACTATTGTACATGTTTTAGTCCTAAAATTCTAACTAAGGATATTAGGAATATAATTGTCCGACCAAATGAAACACAATCCAACCAATCAGAGTTAATGTAGCTCACCATAAAACATGTTAGCCACATAAGTTCTTTACAATACAAGCTGGTTTGTCGCAATTAAGTAAACGAATTGATTCAACACAAAATTTAGAATAAGATTTACTTTTTACCACATTCATAGACCAATGGTTTTCTATATCTTCTGGTCGTGCATAATGGGTCGGTGAATCCTCGTTGACCAAATCTAACAAATTACCACCTACTCCGAAGAGCTACCTAGACTAACATAGGGGTACGTTGGGGAAACAAAAGACATAGATATCACATTGCTCCACATAGTATTAATTTCTGCTGTCAGGAGCTTCAAATCATAAATAAAGTAATACACTAACCTCCCTCAGAGCTATCAATGTTAATATTACTCCTAATTTTCCACTACTGATATTACTATTTAAGACTACTTTTCATGCGGTTGATTTCTTTTTGTGGTGACGCAGACCGTGACATCTTTAGTCGATATTTGTCTCAAAACCTATATTGTTTATGATTGACTGATACGACGGAGACTATTCCTAGGTATGATGCAATATAAATGCTATGTCTCTTCATCAGTTCTTTTGCATAAATGAGATAAAAATTTAATTTACTCTTCCTCTCTACGTAAATTTAGCTTTCTGAATATCAAGCTCTGGAGGAAAAATTGCGCAATACACTCATTGAACTTGCTACTAGAGAGCGTCAGCTAACCGCAGGTGAGGCAGAATTGGTACGCCTGAAAAAGAAAATGCAAGGGAATTGGAAGTTAGACGCAAAGAATTGAACCAACAGTCTCAAGTTCAGATTCGTGATCTAGAGAGTCAGATGAAATTGGAGAAAAAAAACTCTGAACATTGGAAGTCACAAGTAAATTTAGTGAGATTCCTCCCTTATAAACTGTAATGTTGTTACTGTTGGCTTTGAATCCAATTTACAGATATACTCTATATAATTATAAATATTGCATTTCTATCTCATTTACAGATAGTTGAATGGCGAAGTAAGTATGCTTCTCTGGAAGGAAGAGAATAACAGTCTAAGAAATGAAATAAACGGCAGATTGAAAAAGTCGGTAGATAACAAAGCATCTAACGAAACACCTTCAATAAACAATGAAGTAGCCCGACTGACTGCAGAATTAGCAGTTGCTCGGGCTACACTATCCGAAACAGAATGCCGTTTAGTTGAAGTAGAACGTGGTCGAGCAAGATATCGTCAGTTATGGACGAAATCTTGCATGAACTAGCCAAGGTAAAACAAGAAGCAGATGAAGCTACTCGAATTTCACTGGCACAAAAAGAAGCAGAACTTGAACAACTAAAGTCTTACTGCTTAAATGTTGATGAGAAACGACCAACTAGCCAAGATTTAAAAGAACTGACAGATGGTAACTTGGAACGGTAAGTGGTTATTTGGAATGTCTATTAATCAAGTTGGCTTACTCAGTACTACATAAGGAGTGTCCCCTGCTTTTAGAAGAATTTTAATGCAATTTATAGACTAATAGAAAATAATTTTTAAATGTACCACTTTAAACAGATGAATTGAAGAAATTAAGGCGATTTCAGCGAGGAGAATTTTTCTTTTGATCATAGCATTTGCTAAAACCGTACAATCGTACTTAGTAAGTATAAGAATTAAAAATAAAGCAACACAGTTAAGAGTTTCGTCACTAAATTGATTGCCAAGCACAGTAAATAACCGTTAAGCTATCCAGTCAGTCAGTCAGCTACAACGTAGGACCAGGCACATGTATGCATCGGCCCAGGTTGCCATACCGCATTAGCACAGCAAGATGAACACCGGATTCATAGGAGTGGTTAGGTCAAAGATGGTAATATATAGGAGAAAGATTGCAATAAGGATATAGTACAGGAAGAAAGAATTAGTTCGTAGGAAGAAAGATATGAAGCGATTTTAATCTCTTAGTTTAAGAGAAGACAGAGAGTGTCTACACCAACGCCATTGTGATCGATTCTGAGCCATGTCACCCACAATCTCCAACCATTGGTTACGATAGTCACGTGGACCCCAACCAAGTAGTCTGGATCTACCAACATGGCTCAGACTAGAAGTTAGTGACTTCAGGCACTGATGCCACGTTTTGGTTTGGCCGCCCCTAACTTTCTTCCAACCATCCCCTACACCGGTTAGCATTGCACGTCGCGGTAATCGGTGTTCAGGCATACGTAATACGTGGCCCAACCATCTCAGTCGATGAAGATTCATAACCTCATCAACTGATTTACCATCATTCCCTAATACCCTGCGTCTAACCTCACTATTACTTACCCGGTGATCCCAGCAGATGCCAGCAATATTTCTAAGGCATCTGTGGTCAAATACTAGTAGCTTACGAGTGTCTTCTACTCTTAAGGGCCATGTTTCGCTGCCGTAAATTAAAACAGAACGGAACAGCCGCGCAGTATACTCGTCCTTTTATTGATAGACGGATATCTCGCCTCCGCCAAAGGTGACGTAAGTTGGCAAAAGCCAAACGAGCTTTACGAATCCGTGCTGAGATTTCGTCAGACACCAACCCATTAGGGCTGATCAGACTTCCAAGATAAGTGAAGTTGTCAACTCGTTCGACTACTTCACTCCCTATCCTTAGTTCAGGTGTTGACGCAGACCAGTCCTGAAGCAACAACTTGCATTTAGAGGGAGAGAAGCGCATCCCAAACATTCTGGCATTGTTGCTTAGTGCTACCAGAAGACTCTGCATTTTGTCAGCGTCTTCACCAAACAGGACTATGTCATTTGCGTATTCTAAGTCGATAAGTGGACCTCCTGGAAGGAGATCAATACCCGAGAATTCAGTCGACGAGAGTGTTATTTCCATCAATAGGTCTATGATGAAGTTAAACAAAAATGGAGATAACGTCTAATTCCCAGATCTTAGCTAAAATATTAGTCAACCTAATCGCTAAAATTGGACCACCATCCTTAAAGACCTCTGGAGCCAATCCATCTGGACCAGCTGCCCTTCCTCGTTTCAGATTAACTATAGCCTTCTCAACTTCAGCAAGAGTTGGGGGACCTACTTCAATGTTCCATTCACATGTCTGGGAATGGAGGGTAGTTGTAGAGTAGCTGAAGGCCAGCTGAACTGTTCTCTAAAATGTTCCGCCCATCGTTCTAAACGTCTGGACTGGGAGCAGATGAGAGTATCATCTTTTTCCGAAATAATCTCACTTACACTTGACTTATTAATTCCAGTTTCTTTTATTAGTCTGTAAAGCTGTCTTGTGTTCCCTATAGTCGCCGCCTTTTCCATCTCTTTTGCTTTCGTTACCCACCACTGCTCACGGTCGTTCCTTAGACTTTTTCTTAACCTAGATCTGATTTGTTTACGCTCTTCATCATGTTCAGAACCTGATGGGACGAGTTTGCGAGAATCCATCAGTGTGACAGACCTTGAAGAAATCCACTGGTTCCTTGTAACTCTGTGGTTTAAGTCACTAATAGATGTCACTGCTGTTTCCACAGCTGATTGTATGCCCTTCCAAGCAACATCTGGGTCAGCCTCGTCTTCACAACTACCTAAGTGTGACCTCAGTTGTTCCTGGAACCTACTTTTGGTTTTCTCGTTACTCAACTCAGTTCTAATGGGTCTTTTTAATGTGGCTTTTTTGCGTCCAGTGAGGCGCAAGCAGATGCGTGCCCGTATTAGGGCATGGTCGGAGTCCAAGCAGGTACTCCAGAATGAGCGACAATCTTCTACCGACCCTCTCCAACGATGACTGATGGCAATATGGTCTATTTGAGTCCATCGTTGGTTTGGTGTAGGGGGTCGCCATGTTAGACGATGTCTCTCCTTATGCTTAAAATTTGTGTTTGCTAAAAATAAACGATTGTCTGAGCATAGCTGCAGCAGACGATCACCATTATCTGTTCGCTGTGTCGGAATACTAAAATATCCACCTAAATGCCTTTCTGTTTGGTTTAAACTGCCTATCTGAGCATTAAAATCACCTGCTACGAGTACTATGTCTGAGCGTTTAGCTTTCTGAAGAAGTTCGGACAGCTTTCTGTAAAATTCATCTTTCACTTCATCTGAGCTGCAGTCAGTGGGAGCGTAGGCAGAAACGACAAAAAGGCAACGACGTGTGTCCCTATCCTTCCGAGTTCTTACGTAGCCGTTCAGCCGAACAGCACATAGACGACTGTTGACGGGGATCCACTCTAGCAGTGCTTGTTCGGCCCTCATGCTTAGTGCTATGCCTACACCTGCCAGTCCACGAGAACTTGCCATCGGGTCACCAGACACACGAAGGGTGTATCTCGTTGGCTCTCCGTCTTGCCGAGGTGAGGTCAAGTGAATGACCACACTGGAATCCTGTATGCGTGTTTCGGAGACACAGCATACATCAATGGAAAGAGACTCTAGGGTTTTAGCCAAGGAAGCCTGCTGACCGATTTGACATAGGGTGCGTACGTTGAAGGCTCCAATGTGTAGTTTGGAGCGAGGTTTCAGTAGACCTGGGACAGTGTTTTGCGCACTAGAATCGTTGGCTACGGTGACACTTGAGGTGGAAGCCGAGAGAGGAAATATAGAGTTGAAAGTCGATGTAGGAGGAATAATAGGAATTGAAGAGGAGGTTGATTATGAATACAGTGGTCTTGAGTGCTGTTAGAAGTATGAGGGCGGTTATCACTTCCCGGTTGCCCACACCGTGGAAGGGTTGTTCTGGAGGTACCTGAAAAGGAAATTGGATTAAAGGTGGTCTTAGTGAACTGAGAGCGTGACCGCAGTGCCCAAGGGACAACTGCTTGAGGTCGGTCACACACGACCTTGTTATGGGTAATTTTTGTGTTAGCTCCGTACTTATTGAGACCTTACCGCCGGAGACGGATATCCGTGGGATAAGGCGAGGTGTGCATTTTTAGGGTCGACCTTTTCTAACCCCACCCCTCCTTGTGGGAAGGCAGCATCGCTGTCATGCTGGTTGTCTGAAGGAAACACCTTACTGCTGTCACACCTCTGTACAGTCAGCAGTACGACTTCGCCTTCGGACCTTGGGTTTGTTGCTTTTAGTCTTACCGCTCTTCAACCGACCTGTCTGACATGGTAGGACCTTGAGGAACGGTTGTTCCAGCCAGTATAGCTCGGTTGCTTCATCACGATAGGCAAGCCCGACCACCACGTCAAGGTAGCAACAACGGTCGGGACCGTTAAGCTATACCAAATGATATAGCCGAAGAGGAAATCCTCGACGCTAAAATCATCTTGAATTGTTTCTCAATATGTTAGTAGATGATGTCCAGTTTTATCTAATACGCTCTACCTCACTAACTATTCTTCTGAAAATATTGTAACTTATTCGCGGCTAAACTCACCAGTTATTTAGCCATCTTCTTAGAGTTAACGCTTCAGTTTTGTTGATTATGAGGCTTTTGCACTATAGATAACTTTCGCGGTTTATATTTCCCCTTCTCAAATCATACATGCACATATACTTCCTATGCTGAATATGCTTTCCGGTGATCTTCAGCGTTTTGTAACATCTAAATGTAACATTTAGTGAACTGAAGCGCCATTAGACCAGAGTTAGGACAATCGCGATAAATTCAATGTTTTTCCAGAGGACTGAAATTCTGTATACATACACTCATATTGTTTGCAGTTATGAAGTTGTACTACTAAGTAATCGTTTACAGCGTAACAACCATCATACATTGAACGATAGGACGTAAATAATTAATACAGATGTTTAATGTTTGACGTAAAACAGAGGGGTTATTAGCATAAACGTGGAGCAAAATAAGTACTGTAAAATATATTATTCTCACAATCATTTTTCGTCTAAGTGCGTTAGAATTTGGACGTAATCACAAACTAAATTGGTGTACAACTGTAGTCAGTTGTTCAATATTAGCCACACAAATTTTTCCACAGGAGTTATTAGTTTTATTTTAATCCCTTGCTTCCATGTTTCGTACGGATTCGGATGATTAATACACAATAAGTGGACAGCAAATATTTTTAGGATTGATTGATAGGATACAGATAAATACTTTCACGAATATACTGAAATGAGTGACGATTTAAAAATTTCGAATAATATCTTGAGTTAGGATAAAACACTGAATGTATTGATACGTAAGTTTGGATGGGGTCGTTCTGTTATTGGTCATGGTTCACAATACATCCACAAGGTGATTAAATGGAAATAGATTCTCAAAGCAATACTAGCATCCCAGTACTTCTCCTAGTTACTTATATGTGTGAAGTGGAAGACGAGTGTAATAGTTATACGCAACATTAAGGTTTATTACTAAGGTCCAGGAGTTTACCGTTTGATTTTTTAAAGGTGCATAAATTCTGTTTACTTTCGTCCTAGGTGATTGCTTTTTTTGAAAAAATGTGAACTATATCGCATTTCCTGCTGCTGTTTTTCTGACCGACACTCCACATATTATCTTCCTTTTATAGGTGCACCAACCTAACAAACTAGACCTGTTTAAACTAACTGAATAATTTCTCAAAATTTACTTCCAGATGTGATTTTATTACAGTAGCTATATATTTTGATTTTTAGATCCAAAATGAATGAAGAAATGACTACTGAAATAAACGTTTCTGATGTAAAGTCTGTGGTGGATGAGAAAATCGAAGCACAAATTACTCGGCTGATTGAAGAACGTGACGGTCTACTAAATACTGGTGTTTACGAAAATAGTGATTCTTTAATTGTTGATCTTGATCGACAAATCAGATACCTTTTAGGGAAAATATAATTCCATCTATTTGCTTTTTAATAAATACAAAGCTACTTGTAGCCAAACAAGTTGTGTAAAGAAAACTCAAGCAAGCATCCTCATAACCAATGAAGAGTTTATTAAGTTACTAAAGGATGGACTTAATACGTTTGTAAATATGTATGATAGACCTAGTTAGCACTTTACACACAGATATGACGAGTTATGATCGACATGCCAGACCTCACTCCACATATAATGAGCTACTAGCAGTTGCCTCCTTTCAATAAAAGATAAGCATATAATCGACGGATGTCATATCTCAGATCATATGAACTTGTGGAACAAGAAGTTAGAAATACTCCTGTGAAAGGTAATATCCCGCATGGTTATATAGCAATGCAACCGTGCTGGAGATGGTTGGAAGAAAGTTAGGGCGGCCAACCAAAACGTGACATCAGTGCTTGAAGTCACTAACTTCTAGTCTGAGACATGTTGGTAGATGCAGACTACTTGGTTGGGGTCCACGTGACTATCGTAACCAATAGTTGGAGACATGGCTCAGAATCGACCACAATGGCTTAGGTGCATACACTCTCTGTCTCTGAACTAAGAGATTAAAACGCTTCATATTTTTCTTTCTACGAACTAGTTCTTTCTTTCTGTACTGTATCCTTATTGCAATCTTTCTTTTATATATTACACCTCTGAATTAACTACTTTTATGGTATAGGAGTAGGTTGGAAGAAAGCTAGTGGCGGCCAGACCAAAACATGGCAAAAATCCATGAAGTCACTGACAAGTGGACTGAGTCATGTTGGTAGGTGTAGACTACCTGGTTGGGACCGCGAGATAATAGCAACCGATGGTTAGAGACCCTGAATGACATGGCTCAAAATCGTTTGCAATGGCGCAGGTGCATCCACTCTTTGTGTTCTCCCAAATTTTGATCTCCTTATTCCTCATTCTTCTTTTTTCTCTTCCCAAATTTATTTCACTGTTATACTCTTTAAATAACAACTCAAACACCAATTTTCCTGATTACTGCTTATACTCTTATTACCTCTACCACTACGGGATTCGAGTCTGTGCTAATGTGGTGTGGCAACTCGAACTGAAGTACGTACGTACGAAGTTCTACGTTGTTACTGACTGACTTTTACGAACCCGGTATCCATCTTGTTGTGTCAATGAGGCATGGCAACTTGGACCGATGCATATGTGTGCCTGGCCCTACATTGTAGCTGATTGACTGCATGGTTATACTGTGGTTCGAGCATTAGGTCAGATTGGTAGTCAGTAATTATGTGGAATTATGTCGAAAACAAAGCAAGGGGCACCTCAAAAACACTTGGTGGTAAAGCATGGTTTGCGTGCCTCAACTGCCTTAGCACTTCAAAGGACAGAAAAGAATCCTGAGGAAGTTGAACAGTCGCCTAAGATGTCCAAAACATTACAATTCATAAGTAACTTCATCAAGCAGCCGTGACCATTTACTCTTAGTTGGTTGTTTCTGGGTGTGAAATAGGCTGTTGTATAGCTATAAAAATAGATACCTTATTCACCCAACTTATGACAAAACCAAGCGTAAAGAAAAATGCACGACAGTCCCGGTTCATAGCTACCCATAAGCCTCGATATAACTCAATATCCAGGAGAACCTCCAGGAAGTTGTTGTAATTGCTCATTAGGCTTTTCGGTTGACGTTGGCCGGTAACAAGACAAATATTCGGACCGTGGAGCTCGATAGCTTCCCTAATTTTCCTTTATATACCTTCAAATTAAGCACAGGACTTCTATAGAGTCTAAGCTCTTGTAACTGGGATTACTTGAACTCGTACTTACTTTATTATTATTAATGGCTTTATTCAATATTATAGTTTTGGTACAATATAGAATTCTCCACACAGGGTATTTCAACAAGTTACTTACGCAAAAACAAAAAAATCAGTAACGAATACATAAAAAGGTTAATGTATTTTTTAAATAAAAAAAAACCCGAAAAACTGTACAACTTTTAGAATTAAGGACATGATAACAACGCAAGTTATTGACTAGGTTAACTCGAACAACCTGTTCGTCACAGAGTATTGCTAGGTAAGGTATTACATAACTTTTATACTTTTGCTTGCGTGCATGGATTTTAATGTTATTACGTCTCGTTCTACCAAAGATATACAAGGAAAAAGATAAGAGTGAAGGAGATGGTTAGTATCTGATAAAACAACACCTGCCAGGTGTTGCATGACTTTAGATTTTTATCCACAACCATATTACTTATGACCTCGAAAGATTCACCACACATCTTGCTAACTGCCTTCAGCACTCTCCGCAATACAGCAAAGTCTTTTCTCAAAAGCCCGGGGAAGAATAATGAAGAAAAGTAAAGAATAATAGGTAGTATGCAAGAATTGACAAATTGTAAGAGTAAATGACGAGTAATCCCAAGAGCATGGAATCTCTTTATGTAGTAAGTCAGACGGACAACCTTCTTCGATAATAATAAAACGTGGGAAGACCAAGAGGGATCAGAGGAAAAGGTGATACCAAGATAATTGACCTTCGACACTGAGTTTATCAAAGAGTCTCCGATGGTACAAGCATTATGGGATCTCAAAATGGTGTTTAAATTCCGTTCATGTCTCATGCTAAAGTTAACAGCTTGACATTTAGACGGATTAAGTATGAGACCATGACCAACAATCAATACGAGACAAAAACTCATTAATTTCTATGGGATGTAAAGAGGAAGAGATAGGCATACATACAGTGAGATCATCCGCATATTTCAAAAAAGTGTTTTCTGTAGAAGATGGCAGATCATGCAGAAAAAAAAGAAAAGAAGAGGTGAAAGAACAGCTCCTTATGGTACACCTTCATGAGACGGTAGAGACTTTGAAAACTTTCCTCCAAACACAGTGTACTGCTCCCTTCCAGAAAGGTAGAAACATAGCCAGTTGGTTATCCAGCTGTCAGTGTTGACGCTGATTAACTTGTTAAGTAAACGTTGTCTTGGTATAGAATCAAAAGCTGAAGTATAGTCCAGAAAAGCGCACCGAACATCTTACCCTTTTCTAAGTTGAACACTATATTGTGATGCAGAACAGCAACAGCATCCAAGGTGCTTCTTTTGCATCTGTAAGAAAATTGATACAGATCAATATGCTCTTTTATCGCAGGCTGAAGTGGAAGTATTAATATTTTTTCCATGGTTTTGAGGAACGGTGAAGTTACTGCAATAGGTCTAAATTTTACATTCTTATCACCAGATGCTTTCTTGGGTACAGGGATTATCTTCATCTTTCTCTACATTTTCGGTATGAGATTGGATGAGAAGGATCTGTTAAAGATAGTCGTGAATGGATAATATAGGACGTCAGCAAATTTTTAAAAAGGAGGTTTGGGATACCCTAAACATCGGGATGAATTAAGTGACTAGAGACATCTTCGGACATCAGTTTCAGTGAAACTAGGAACACAACTATTATTTAAACCTGTGGATGAAGGGAGCATTACATCAGATGCCTGACTTACAAAAGACTTATTCAAGTCACAAACATTCGCTCCTAGACGGTCTGTCACCTGTAAGTTTTTTAACGAGTTTCCACATACTTGGAGAGTTTTTGCAAGACAAGAGTTTTTGAGTAAACATACAGTTGAACGTCTAATCTCTAGGTCTATCAGACCATTTAGCTTACGAACGTCATTTGAGTTCTTCTCCTTGTACATTCTTTCTTTCATCCTCCGTAGTCGTTTCAGTTGTGTAGATGTAAGTCGAGACAGATGAGCATTTCACTTCACCTAGCTTTACTGCAATATGATTTTTTACAAGCCCAAAACCGAGTCCGTTACTTATCAGTACAAAGTTATGATTATTGAGCGCTATTTGAATTATCAAGTGGTCAGTAGTGAGTAGCTTAGAGTGGCGATCTTCGGGGTTCTAGTGTGAAGCTGAGACTATTATTGTGGGATAATTACACACCGAAGACAATGGATGGTCGCGCAATATCGCGGACTGATTGATGTTATGCATTAAAACGATTAAATGCCGGAAGAGCGGTCTAGAGGTTAAGCGTTCGCACACGAGAGCAGAGGTCTTGGTTTTGATTCCTACAGGTGGAGTCATGGATATGCACTGCTGAGGTGCCACCTACTAGGGCAAAACGGCCGTCAAATGCTCCCAGGTTTTTAATGGTAGTCAATCACTGGTCGCTCTATGATTTCAACGAATTCGTCAGCTTATATTTGCAACTAAGCACTTCCCCGTCATGATTTATGAGACTGATAACCATCAATTTGAAAGTACTCGTAAGGGTGTTCTCACTATTCATTTGCGAATACTTCAATGTCCAGGAATTCTTACTTCTTTTATTGTGAAGAAAAGCGACAAACCGTCCTCACCCTCGAAAAACTATTCCCGAACTTAGTTTACAATAATGGGGACATCACAATTAGGAGAAAATGTTAAGACAACAATATCGAGGTAGTTACTTAAAACAAAGGGTCTACGATATACCTCTTATGGGTGAACGAAATCGAATCCGGTGGTTCACAGAAAAGCATAGGCGAGTGATGCCGACTCATTCGACAAGCAACGGTTTGGATATTTGTGGTGAAATACATCGAGCTGAAAAGCTCTCAAGAACTGTACGTAAATTGCACGCCAAAATGCGAAATGAATAAATGGAAGTGTTGACAATAGTCGACAGCGTCAATAATTAGTAATTGTATGTAACTGAGCTATATAATCCATCCACAGCGTGGGAGGCTTTATTATTTTGCTTAACACTAACAACGTAACATGATCAAAGTGAGCTGACACAGCATAGAGACAAACATTGTAACTAGTTCTCGAAGTAAAAAAACCCTTACAATGGCAGCTCACAAAAAAAAGTAAATAACTGTGCTCAGTATAAAACAATATAGTAACGACAGGCCGTACGTTCAGGACCTACTAATTTATTTCATCCGCCAATAGTCTGCATACTCCTGTGATCTAAAGACGCATCTGGATTTAGTTATCTTAGTACCTTGTGTGATACTGCCTATCTAATTAGATGAATGCACAGTGACGTCAGGATAACCTATCAGGTAACACAGGAACTCAATGGCCGTTAGCATATTCACTAAGCGTACCATGTTTTTGGAGCACAAGTTGATTTTTACAACTCAGACATGGTTGAGAATTTAGAATAAAAACAGGCAGCAGTTTGTGATCTAAGTGTGAGGACATAATGTGACTTATGCAACCCAACCATGAATGCCATGACGCGGCGGTCGAAGTTGCCTATCGTGATGACCCAACCGAGCTATATTGGCTGGAACATATGTTCCTGTAGGTTCTACTATGCCAGGCAGGTCGATTGAATAACGGTAAGACTAAACGCAGCAACTCAAGGTCTGAGGGCGAAGTCGTACTGCTGACTGTAGAGGTGTGACAGCAGTAAGGTGTTTCCCTCAGACAACCAGCATCTGCAGCGATGCTGCCTTCCCACAAGGAGGGGTGGCGTTAGAAAAGGTCGACCC